AGTGGCTATTGGGGTGTAACGTGTTCCACATTACACCCATATAACCACCTCAATAGCCACATTTTTTTTTTTTAAAAAAGTGGATTTCAAGTTCAAAAAATAATATATATTATAACAAATTATCTAGACCGTTCATTTTGCCCAAAATGTAAGTGTTCATAGATCCGCAAGATCCGTACCATTTTTTGAGTTTCGAATTTAATTATCGGTGTTAGAAATTTATTTTAGAGCCATAGAGATTTCTTTTGCCAAAGGTACTTTCCGGACAAAGATTTGAGGTGAGGCTCTATTCTGTTTTCATAAAGCTTAGGCCTTATAGAATTCTCATCCATTACATATTACTATAATAAAAAAAAAACGAATAAAAAAATTCCCAAAAAAAAAACTCACCTTACTCGCTCCTCATCTTCCTTCTTACTATTCTCTCTCTATCTAACGAGTTATCATGGAGGTGCGTCTTTGTAGGTGATCACAAAGAGTTATTATAGCAGTGTCTTTGCAGTGTCCTTATGGAAGAGATTTTGAGATAAGTTAAAAGAGGAACCCATTATTTTATAAAGATGTAAATTCCCTTCACAATAAAAAATATGAATTTGAACAAAAAAAAATGGGCTAGAATTACTCATTATGGCCAGTATAAGGAAATCATTTATTAAAGGTCGTAAAAATACCTAAAAAATGTTCCTGATTATTATTATTATTTATTTTATTTCGACTCTTTTTTTTAAAAAAATTATCGTCATACACAAAAAGAACGCTATGTGCATATAGATCTGTTTGATATGAGGTCAATGAAATACTAATAGTAAAGATTAAACAAGTTGTATTTGAGAGTCAATCTTTCTCTGATACTATTGTTAGCCCCAATAAAAATAATAATAATAAATAAATAAAATAAATTTGCTACTCGGATCTATCCTTAAATCATACGAAAGACTTAAGGTTCCATGCCAAACCTATAGACAAAGTAATTAGGTGACAGGCTACCTTGAGAGTCCCCTTTGGTGAATCTCATGTACCCATTTTCGATCCTTTTGTTTCTCTTTACTTGAGAGGTTAATTGCTTTTTATAGATAACCATACTTTGTAAATCACACATTCATCGTCTATAGGAATTGAGATCCATGTATAACTCCTACCTTAATTCCCTTAAGTGCAGTCAATTAGGATTAACAAGTTGTCACAAAACTGCTAATCTTGTGTAATGAGAACCTGTCATTAGTGCACTAATGACTCACATGACAGAATGTCATCCTAGGATTCCTAAAATTTGATAAAAGATATTTAGAAATTAAATAATTTTGTACATCTATAATATAGAAAAAAAATTCTTACAAAAAATCCAAGCACAACACCAGTACAACATGCCATGAGAGCTCCAAAAATGGATCTTAGTATATGGCATTGCCTCATGTCAACCTCATGGGATTTCACATATACTATACAATATGGTTTTTTTTACTATTATTGAAAAATAAATTCTTGAGATAAAAAGGATTGATATGCCACATTTCAAACATTACCCACATATAATATTAGTCATAAACTATTTTTAAAGCATATAAATTTATTTGTGAAGAATAGATAATTTATTTATTTATCTTTTTTAAACATATTTAATGTTTTCTACGTCTCTTGGAATTTGTACCCCATAAACCTCTATTTTAACTTTTGTTTTATTTTATTTATTTTAAAAAATATCTTCACCATTAATTCAAACTCCAGATCCTCGATCCAACCATTGGACACAAATCTAGTAATGAGTGATCTACCCCACCAATCCGAAAATTAAAACCGGTTGTGAGCGACAACCACAGAGAAAATAAGCATGCTTTACGAGGCAAAAGGTTGCAAGCCAAGGTTCTCTAAATTATTGATAGGTTGCAAGCCAAGGTTCTCTAAATTATTGATAATTAAAAGCCCACAAAACAAAGTAAGATTTTGAGTAAGTAGAAACCCACCAAACAATAAGGCAAACATTCAAATAGCGAAACGACAAGTCTGTCCAACAGGAGCATATTGTGCATTTTCTCCCTGGGTAAAACTCAATCTTAGAAACTATTTGGACTCCAAATTTTGGGCTAAACTTTAACAATCAACCTCAAATGAACAAAACTTTCACCTTTTAGTAATTAAATAAAAAATAATATCTCAAAATTGAACAGGAACCGTCTAATTTTTAGAGGGCAAGATTGAGGAGTTCAAGAACTCAAAATAATCATCTTGTTACACTTGGATACCCAAATTTCAGATAAATAATCCTCAGCTATTTTGTCCGTGTGAGTTGTGCACAGAATGCTAAATGCTCGCTCTTTATAATATATATATTGGCCATATTGAAGAAGAGAGCTAGAGAGATGATATCATATCTATTTTTGTATTCAGCAGGGTTTACATGAACAAGGCATCCAGTGTTTAAATAAACAACACATGAATTTGAAGCGTTGTAGTTATGCATAAATTTGTAGCGTTGTAGGTTAGCATTATGTAGAGTATTTTTCTTTTCTTTTCTTGGGAGGTGCTTTTAAAATTTCATCTTTCATACAGTCGTCTTTTTTTAATCTAGGAAAATAATTCATCTCTATGTTTGTATTCTAAGGTCTAGAACTAAGTATCTCATTAAAATTGATGGCATCTATTAGTTGGGCTCAAAAAACATCTTTTGGGGTATGTTTTTTAAATTTTTCTTTTTGATGATTGTTCATTAGCTTAAGAACAATGTATATTTTAAACTTGGGGCTAAACAAATGGGTTTTTAACATGGCTTTTCTAAGCTGGTGCATTATATTATTATAAAATCGTTGCATGATATCATTGCTTATTCTCTTTGGGCAGTGATTTCATGCAATGGTTGTATAGTAATATAATGTAACCACAATTTTAGAAAACCATATTTATATGACTCCAAATTTTGCACACATGCTCCTTTCATCCCAATAATCAATATTAGAAAAAAAAAATTCAATTTGCACTTTAGATATAGTAAAAAATGAGTGCCCTCCAACAATGAATATCGACCATCTATTTGGTGAATTTCAAGATCTAGACCTTTACAAATTAAAAATAATTTTTTCTTTTTTTTATGACTGTTAATCTAATGATACTAAAGATATCTAAAATTTTTTGAAAGAAAACAAATCCTTCTAAAATCTAGATCTAAGTATCATATTAAAATGGACGTCCTATATTAGTTGGGCTCAAAACACATCTTTTGGAGTGTGTTTTCAAATTTTTCTTTTGGTGATTGTTCATTAGATTTAGAACAATGTATATTTAAAAATTGAGATTAAACAAATAAGTTTGTAACATAATTTTTGTACGTTGTTGCATTATATTATTATTATAAAACCGTTGCATGAAATCATTACCCATTCTCTATATTCGTTCTTGATCAAGCTGGTGGACAGCATAGAATCAAATGGAAGG